AAAAAGGTCAACACAGTAAGCAGCCAGTGTTGTTTTTTTTAATTCAAATTATAATACAAATACAATAAAAAACAAATACAATAAAAATACATCGCAAATACAATACAAATACTTATACAAATACATTGTAAATACAATACAAATGCATTACAAACATGACAATACAATAGCAAATAGGTTGCAAATACAATACAAATACAATACAAATACGATACAATTCAAAAACATTGCAAATACAATACAAATACATTGCAAATACAATACAATAAAATACAAATATTATGTAAATCATATTTTTGAAAGAAAATACAAAAACTATATTGAACTTTTTTTCCTTTGTGTTAGTCTAACAACTTCATTCATAATGACTTACAATAAAAAATATGATGTTATCTTTAACATGAATTAATGACATTGGCAGAACAACATCATTTAAAGCATGCAAAATGCTTTGTTACAAGTCTTTTTCTAGCACAGACGTAAACAGAAGAAAGTCCTCTCTGATATGCAAGAAAACACTCTAGTACCAATGAGCAAAATATTTGATTCCATAAAGCAGTTGTCAGATGTAACAATACAGGGAGAAGTAGTTGTGCACTTGTTACACAATAAATATGTCAAATGCATACTTCAATTGACAAGACAAACATAGTCTGGGCAGCCAGGCTGCCTATAATGAGTTTTTAACCCATGCAGCCAGAAATTTTAGATTATACCAAGCCCTACATATTTACCACTCTGAACAAAGCCAAAGTTCTGTGACCAGAGTATGGCTCAAACCACCAATCCTTATATTGAATGGTATGTACGCTTACCACAAAGCTCCTTGTAGCATGGCTCTCAGCAGTGTAAGCAATAATTAATCACCAAATTCTTACCTGAGTAACTAAAAATCTAGCTGCTTCATCAATATTTATATTTTCCTTTGCTGATGTTTCGAACCAACCAATGAAGCCTTTTTCTTTACAAAATTCATCTATCTGAGATGTGTTATTCATTAATCCTTCTTTAGGTTGATCACACTGTAAAATACAAACTCTGTCTCATAATGCAGCAATAATCAAAGTGCTGAAAGCACTGAATGTGACATACACTAATGTTCAGTGCAAGTTGTTGAAGCATATTAGATTATGGTGTAAAACATATTCTTACAGTAAAATGAATGCCATAAGTCTAGGCTTAATAGTCATTTAGAAAATCTTGCATTTCCCTGCAGTAATTTTATAACAAAAAAACCACATGAAGCATTAATGCTTGTCTGTCACATGATAACAAATTTTCATACATGTTTTGATTTAAACATGGGCAAAACTTCTAAAAATGTTGTTATCTGCATTATGCTCCTGACCATGATAGTTTCATGCTGATAGAAATTCTACTCAATGTGTGCCTTTATGTGTGATATAAGAAGTAACCAATGTAAAAACGACCTTATCATTTTTAAGCATTTCAGGAACTAACCAGTACCTGAGTAGAACCACTAACAATGTGTAAACTAGGTGGATAGCTTCCTAACATGAAAGAATTCAAAGTCTCTTTTGGGTTTTGAACCCACAATGGTGAGGGGCAAGTGGTTTTAAGTCACAGACCTTAACCACTCGGCCACTGCCATGTATGAATGTTCTAAATTTTAGGTTTTTAGGCTTTATGATCTCATTGGAACTTCTTTAAGAAAGTCAGATGGAAAAGGGTAAAGGAACTTTACATAACATTGCCATGGTTTCACTGCAGTTAAATGAAATTTAATCATCTAACAAAGTATTTGCTACCAGAACACAGACAAACCTTATTGGCTAAAAGAACACATGGCACTGGTCTCCCATCAGCAAGTTGAACTTTGAGGTCAAGGTCATTTTTCCACTTTGTTACAGCATCAAATGTTGATGCTCTAGTCAAGTCAAACACAATAAATGCTCCCACTGCCTCCTTATAATATACCCTAGTCATATTTCCAAACCTTTCTTGACCTGAAAACATATGTTATAGAAATATCAAAGTTTATATTGAATGTACATATTTTCATACATTGCAAAATTACGACACTGTTAGATTCTCATATTTCATAATGTTATTAAATATTTTTACACCAAGCTATAAAACTGCATTTATACCAAGTATATTATATAATAAATGCTTGATCTGATAATAGGATTTAAAGTCACACCACCTACATTGAATAAGTCATATGACAACAAACAACCATGCTTTGAACATTATTTTTGCCATATGCCTTACTCATCAACCATACCTACTATCTAGCTTAAATGAGAGCAGTGGCCTATTGTTTAAGGTGTCTGCCTCTCAACTCAGGTCCCATGGATCATTTTAATTTGTATCTACAGTCTAACCTGTGTTAAAGACCACCTCTGAATAAAGATCACCATGCGTATTATAAAGGCCACTCTGAGACATTGATTATAAAGAGCAAAGTAACCTCCAAATATTTAAATAACAACTTGTCTCTAAAAGACATGTTTTTCTCTGCCTTGGATGGCCTTTTTTAACAGGTTAGACTGTACAAGCTTAAAGGCACACTCTCAGTACAGAGCAATGAGTGTGAAGTTTCTTGCACAAGGAAAAAACAGCTTCCTCCTGACAGAGGTTGAATCCCCACTTCTGACATTTCTTAGATTACTAGTGTGATGTGTTAACCACTTGGTCATGCACAAATGATGACAACAATTTTATGATATTATCATGACATCATGAAAAATCTTCATCTATTGTGATGTGTTTTCTAATTTAATATTATATTTCATTATGTATTTGCAGAAATTTCTATAAATAACTCTGTTTCAAAAAATATAATATGACTTATATATCACTGATGAAATATTTTTAGTATTTCCTTGAAAAGAACAATTTTTTTGTTTTGTTTAGTTTTACATCCCACCAACACAGTATTATAGGCAATATGGTGACTTTTCAGCCTTACTGTTGGAGAATGTTTTTCTTCTTTTTGGTACATCCCACCAACACAGTTTAGGCCATATTGTGACTTTTCAGCTTTACAGACGGAAGATGACCTGATGTGTTATTTCAGCCAGGAACTGGCACTTGGGTAGAAAAACTGACATTCCATACAGCTGGATAGCTTCCTCACATAAAAACAATGAACATAATAAATAAATAGTTTAAATATATATGTATGTACCTGCAATGTCCCATAACTGCAGCCTCACTATGGTCTCAGCGTCCCAATTAATGACCTTTAAGGCAAAATCTACACCAATAGTTGCTCTGTAGTGTTGAGAAAAGAACTGATGTACATATCGTTTGATTATTGATGTTTTACCTGTCCCTAGCTCACCTATTACCAATATTTTATACAGATGTTCTTTCTTATCACCTCCACCTGCCTGAAATCACAGAAAATAATGGTCTTAAGTTGAATACTGGAAAACAAGTCATTTTAAATAACACATTACTTCCCTGCAGCCATAATGAAAAGTCAAAAGCATTTTGTTCTTCTATCTTACAACCATAATTCTGTGTCTGAAATTTCTTCAGAAATTTCTATTTAAAGCAGTATCTAATTATAAAATATGGAGAAAAAAAACCCAAAGTTTTAACCTTTAGCATGCTAAGTGGCAACTGAATCTTCCCAATGGGGAAATGTGGATGTATACAAGCTAAATCTCCCTGATGCAAACAAACTTTTACTTTTAGCTTCACTGTGCACTTAAATAAATCCAGGCAACAATATCTAAGTCAACCTGCTTATTTTCGAAGTTGTAACTGCAAAATTTCTTTTCACAGCCCTGCATAAATTAGCTTGGAAAAACACAAAATATTCTGAATAAGCTATATCTTAGGAAATAAGAATATTTGGTTTTTCCAAGCTAATCTGTCTAAGGTACAAACAAAATTTTACAGACGTTACAGCTTCAAAAATAAGTGCAACAGGTTGACTTATCTATTGAGATGGGTAGTGCACCATGAAGTTTGTTTGTTACACCTACAGATTTAAGCTTGAAAAACTCACATTTAATTTGAAATCAGTTCTGGATAACAATAATTCTACTCGGGACTAAGTTTATTCCTGAGTAAGTCTATTGTGTTTAATTAAGTGTGAACCAATTGTTATAATCTATAAAGGATCATAAATAAACAAGATATGTTTGTAAAACATGTTTGCCCCCTATCAGCAGCCAATAAGTCATGTGATAAGGTTACTATGCATGACTTCTGACCCAGTGATCAAACAATTAATAAGGGTTATCAAGTATCTACTGGTCATGACCTTAACCTTTGACCCCTTGACCCCAAAATCAATAGGTCATCTGCTGGTCATGACCAATCACCATGCCAAGTTTGAAGTTCCTAGGCCTAAGCGTTCTTAAGTTATTGATCAGAAACCGTTTTTACTTACAAGGTCAATGTGACCTTGACCTTTGACCCCTTGACTCAAAACTCAATAGGGGTCATCTGCTGGTCACAACCAATTATCATACAAAGTTTGAAGTTCCTAGGCCTAAGATTTTTTAGTTAATTGATCGGAAACCGTTTTTACCTACAAGGTCAATGTGACCTTGACCTTTGACCCCTTGACCCCAAAATCAATAGGTCATCTGCTGGTCATGACCAATCACCATACCAAGTTCGAAGTTCCTAGGCCTCAGGGTTCTTAAGTTATTGATTGGAAAGCATTTTTACCTACAAGGTCAATGTGACCTTGCCCTTTGACCCCTTAACCCCAAAATCAATAGGGGTCATCTGCTGGTCATGACCAATCACCATACCAAGTTTGAAGTTCCTAGGCCTTAAGGTTCTTTAGTTATTGATCGGAAACCGTTTTTGCTTACAAGGTCAATGTGACCTTGACCTTTGACCCCTTGACCCCAAAATCAATAGGGGTCATCTACTGATCATGACCAATCACCTTACCAAGTTTGAAGTTCCTAGGCCTTAAGGTTCTATAGTTATTGATCACCATACCAAGTTTGAAGTTCCTAGGCCTAAGGGTTCTTTAGTTATTTATCGGAAACAATTTTTACCTACAAGATCAATGTGACCTTGACCTTTGACCCCTTAACCCCAAAATCAATAGAGGTCATCTGCTGGTCATGACCAATCACCATACCAAGTTTGAAGTTCCTATGCCTTAGGGTTCTTTCGTTATTGATCAGAAACCGTTTTTACCCAAGAGGTCAATGTGACCTTGACCTTTGACCCCTTGACCCCAAAATCAATAGGGGTCATCTACTGATCATGACCAATCACCATATCAAGTTTGAAATCCCTAGGCCTAAGGGTTTTTTCGTTATTGATCGGAAACAGTTTTTACCTACAAGATCAATGTGACCTTGACCTTTGACTTAACCCCAAAATCAATAGAGGTCATCTGCTGGTCATGACCAATCACCATACCAAGTTTGAAGTTCCTATGCCTTAGGGTTCTTTCGTTATTGATCAGAAACCGTTTTTACCCAAGAGGTCAATGTGACCTTGACCTTTGACCCCTTGACCCCAAAATCAAGAGTGGTCATCAACTGATCATGATCAATCACCATACCAAGTTTGAAGTTCCTAGGCCTTAAAGTTCTTTAGTTATTGATCGGAAACCGTTTTTGCTTTCAAGGTCAATGTGACCTTGACCTTTGACCCCTTGACCCCAAAGTCAATAGGGGTCATCAACTGATCATGATCAATCACCATACCAAGTTTGAAGTTCCTATGCCTTAGGGTTCTTTCGTTATTTATCAGAAACCGTTTTTACCCAAGAGGTCAATGTGACCTTGACCTTTGACCCCTTGACCCCAAAATCAATAGGGGTCATCTACTGATCATAACCAATCACCATATCAAGTCTGAAATCCCTAGGCCTAAGGGTTCTTTCGTTATTGATCGGAAACAGTTTTTACCTACAAGATTAATGTGACCTTGACCTTTGACCCCTTAACCCCAAAATCAATAGAGGTCATCTGCTGGTCATGACCAATCACCATACCAAGTTTGAAGTTCCTATGCCTTAGGGTTCTTTCGTTATTGATCAGAAACCGTTTTTACCCAAGAGGTCAATGTGACCTTGACCTTTGACCCCAAAATCAAGAGGGGTCATCAACTGATCATGATCAATCACCATACCAAGTTTGAAGTTTCTAGGCCTTAAAGTTCTTTAGTTATTGATCGGAAACCGTTTTTGCTTTCAAGGTCAATGTGACCTTGACCTTTGACCCCTTGACCCCAAAGTCAATAGGGGTCATCTACTGATCATGACCAATCACCATACCAAGTTTGAAGTTCCTAGGCCTTAAAGTTCTTTAGTTATTGATCGGAAACCGTTTTTGCTTTCAAGGTCAATGTGACCTTGACCTTTGACCCCTTGACCCCAAAGTCAATAGGGGTCATCTACTGATCATGACCTATCACCATACCAAGTTTGAAGTTCCTAGGCCTTAAAGTTCTTTAGTTATTGATCGGAAACCTTTTTTGCTTACAAGGTCAATGTGACCTTGACCTTTGACCCCTTGACCCCAAAATCAATAGGTCATCTACTGATCATGACCAATCACCATACCAATTTTGAAGTTCCTAGGCCTTAAGGTTCTTTCGTTATTGATTGGAAACCGTTTTTGCTTACAAGGTCAATGTGACCTTGACCTTTGACCCCTTGACCCCAAAATCAATAGGGGTCATCTACTGATCATGACCAATCACCATACCAAGTTTGAAGTTCCTAGGCCTTAAGGTTCTATAGTTATTGATCGGAATCCGTTTTTGCTTATAAGGTCAATGTGACCTTGACCTTTGACCCCTTGACCCCAAAATCAATAGGGGTCATCTACTGGTCATGACCAATCACCATACCACGTTTGAAGTTCCTAGGCCTAAGGGTTCTTTAGTTATCACTCGGAAACCATTTGGTCTACGGACCGACGGACCGACGGACCAACGGACCGACGGACCGACAAGTGCAAAGCAATATACCCCCTTTTCTTCGAAATGGGGGCATAATAAAACTAGTCTAGTACACTATAAAATGATGTAGTCATTCATTTTTAACAACTCATTGATAGCTTTAAATGTCCCTGTTACATTTATATATATAACTGCTATACCAGCTTTATCATCGAGAACAAGACCTACAATCATATATGACCAAGAACAAGACTGACACATGATGGTCAAAATACAGGACATTTCAACTGTTCATTATTATGATAAAGAACAATAGTTGTAATTGGAACGTGGCAAATCTGGGTTTTTCCTAGCATATTCTCCTGTACAAACAAACTTTTAGCATTAAAGCTTCACGGTACATTACTGTTCACATTCAATTTGCAAACCTGTAGCGCTTAATTTTGAAGCTGTGACTGGAAAAGTTTGTTTCTAAGTCTTAAACCCCGGAATAGCTGGAAATTGTCCCCGAAATATGTTCAATTCTGGAGTAAGTCCTTATATATTTAATTGCTACTGCTATATAGTAGTGTTATTGTCACATATTGTGACAGTATTATTGCAGATATATTAAACACTTAAGCTACCAATTGGGACATAACTCCTTTAAATTATTGAAGTGTATAAATATGCATTAATTCAACAAAAAAAGTGAGTGATCACATAATCAACATTAAATTAACAAATTAAAAAACTCATATATAACCCACGATCCCTGGATATCATTCCTTTGAATATATTAATTATATAGTATGTATCATATAATAGAATTGGAATTTGTTTCAAGTTTTAATTACTTAGGTATTGTGTTATCTAGTGGTGGATCTTTTAAGACAGCAACAAAAGCATTAGCTGATAAAGCTCATAAAGCTATGGGCTTATTATTTAGTATTACAAAATGCATTGAAGTTCCTGTAAATATTATGTTAAATTTATTTGATTCATATGTTGCATCTATATTGAATTATTCTTGTGAAGTATGGGGGTTTGAAAAAGCGGAAAATATTGAACGAATACATAGAAAATTCATGAAATGGATACTCAATGTTAAAATGTCTACTGCTAATTCTGCATTATATGGTGAATTGGGTAGATATCCATTATATGTAGTTAGACAAGTTAGAATTGTTAAATATTTCCTAAAGTTGTATGTTGAAAAGGATTATAACTGTATTTTATCAAGCACAATGAACACTTTAAGATATGAAGCTGAAAATTGTAACTTTGTGAACTGGGCATCCAAAGTCCGAGATTTACTACAAAACACTGGTTTTCACGAAGTATGGATGTATCCTTCTTCGGTAAATATTAATATGTTTGTTCCTATTTTTCGTACTAGAATTATTGACATGTATATAAATAACTGGAGACAAGATATTTGTTCAAAGTCATCTTTGTTTTTATTTAAAGAATTAAAGCCAGATTTTGAAAGGTCCGAATATATAAATAAATGAAATGT